AAGTCCTCATGGCCCTCTATCAGAAATCCAGAGTTTTGGGAAGATTGGAGAAACTTAATTTTTCGCCCCAAAAAAAAAAAACGTAAGGGGTACCACTGTCGTTTTTTTTTCGGGCGAATTTTGAGTTTCGATATCTCAGCTCTGGAAGGGCTAGAGCCTCCATTTTCACACTCAGGTCTAAGTCTCATGGCCCTCTATCAGAATCCAGAGTTTTGGAAGATTGAAGAAACTTAATTTTTCGCCCCAAAAAAAAAAAACGTAAGGGGTACCACTGTCGTTTTTTTCGGGCCGAATTTTTGAGTTTCGATATCTCAGCTCTGGAAGGGGCTAGAGCCTCCATTTTTGCACTCAGGTCTAAGTCTCATGGCCCTCTATCAGAATCCAGAGTTTTGGGAAGATTGGAGAAACTTAATTTTTCGCCCAAAAAAAAAAAAAACGTAAAGGGTACCACTGTCGTTTTTTTTTCGGCCCGAATTTTTGAGTTTCGATATCTCAGCTTTGGAAGGGGCTAGAGCCTCCATTTTTGCACTCAGGTCTAAGTCTCATGGCCCTCTATCAAAAACCAGAGTTTTGGGAAGATTGGAGAAACTTAATTTTTCGCCCCAAAAAAAAAAAACGTAAGGGGTACCACTGTCGTTTTTTTTTCGGGCCGAATTTTTGAGTTTCGATATCTCAGCTCTGGAAGGGGCTAGAGCCTCCATTTTTGCACTCAGGTCTAAGTCTCATGGCCCTATCAGAATCCAGAGTTTTGGGAAGATTGGAGAAACTTAATTTTTCGCCCCAAAAAAAAAAAACGTAAGGGGTACCACTGTCGTGTTTTTTTTCGGGCCGAATTTTTGAGTTTCGATATCTCAGCTCTGGAAGGGGCTAGAGCCTCCATTTTTGCACTCAGGTCTAAGTCTCATGGCCCTCTATCAGAATCCAGAGTTTTGGAAGATTGGAGAAACTTAATTTTTCGCCCCCAAAAAAAACGTAAGGGGTACCACTGTCGTTTTTTTTTCGGGCCGAATTTTTGAGTTTCGATATCTCAGCTCTGGAAGGGGCTAGAGCCTCCATTTTTGCACTCAGGTCTAAGTCTCATGGCCCTCTATCAGAATCCAGAGTTTTGGGAAGATTGGAGAAACTTAATTTTTCGCCCCCAAAAAAAAACGTAAGGGGTACCACTGTCGTTTTTTTTTTCGGGCCGAATTTTTGAGTTTCGATATCTCAGCTCTGGAAGGGGCTAGAGCCTCCATTTTTGCACTCAGGTCTAAGTCTCATGGCCCTCTATCAGAATCCAGAGTTTTGGGAAGATTGGAGAAACTTAATTTTTCGCCCAAAAAAAAAAAAACGTAAGGGGTACCACTGTCGTTTATTTTTCGGGCCGAATTTTTGAGTTTCGATATCTCAGCTCTGGAAGGGGCTAGAGCCTCCATTTTTGCACTCAGGTCTAAGTCTCATGGCCCTCTATCAGAATCCAGAGTTTTGGGAAGATTGGAGAAACTTAATTTTTTCGCCCAAAAAAAAAAAAACGTAAGGGGTACCACTGTCGTTTTTTTTTTCGGGCCGAATTTTTGAGTTTCGATATCTCAGCTCTGGAAGGGGCTAGAGCCTCCATTTTTGCACTCAGGTCTAAGTCTCATGGCCCTCTATCAGAATCCAGAGTTTTGGGAAGATTGGAGAAAC